GAAAGATCGTAAATTTCGTGGTTTATGCTGACAGCCTGAAATGATACAAAAGAAAAATCTGGGCATATTATACACGACAGATATATTTTTCCAGAATTTAATTGCCCGTAATTAAGGATGCATATGACACACAAGTATGTATTATACACAAATAAATATGTCATGTGTACATTGATCAATTGGAAGGGTGCTAATTGGGATTGTTCACTAGCCAAAATATAAGCAAATATAGCTGTGGGGGCTTATTAGAGCAGGCGCTTATTATGTCAAATATGGTATTCTGGTATTTCACCTTGCTGAACTTGAAAGAGCTCTAAACACTGCTTCAGCAACAGTTGACAGAGTATATTCATCAGTGAAAATGTCAACAATAGTGTGAGTTCCTTTAATACCACTTTGAAATTATTTTCAGTTTTTCGCAAGTGTAAATTTATGTGGGATAAAACCCTGAAATGTCCCAGGTCTCCGAAATTTACAATTTTTTAAAAGTCCATAAGCATGGGTATTGTGCCGACAAATTTAATTTTTAATTAAGAATCATAACAAGGGCATATCTTGGGTTAAAACCCATAATCAGCAGATCCTGATGCAGGTGAGGGAGGCAACTTCTGGTGCCTTGGACAAATGAGCCACCTGTCCATGAAGTTGGCAAGGGTTTCAAGTATTGATATTTTTGAAAGCATTAATATTCAGTAACACCAGCCAAACTTAAAACACATGATGTTTATTGACATTGTAAATTTGTCATTTTCCATAGAATCATTGTCAACAATAGAGCTGGGATTCAGTTCACCTCCACTGGGAACATTATTGCAGTTATATCCCAGCATGTCAAGTTAGTCTCGGAAGTATCATTCCAGGTTTCAGATGATAAGACTTGAGTGAGACCCACAAACACAGGTATGGTGCTGACCTTCTTCCTGAGGCAAGGGAGTTAACTAAGTCCGTTAACTAAGTCCCCTTTCCACCCTTGCCCAACTAGGCTGGAATTTCTGGGCTCGATCATAGCGCTATTACAGGTTATGTCCCTTATATGTCCCTCCTATAGACCAATCAGATTTCATCTCTCATATGACTTGCATTTGCTTCAAACAAAATGGCGGCGCCCAGTCAAGACGATCTGATTGATAATCAAGACCTTACAAGGTCTTACATCACAAAGTGCATCAAATCACTTGAGCACCTTGGTTAAAAATATGAAAAGATTTTGAAAATATCTGTCGACGTCCAGTTGACAGCACACATGCAAATCCTGCAATTGACCGAAATCTGCACAGCAGTCGCCATGTTGTTTATGAACCAAATGTCAATTTCATTACGCGATTTTGTTTAGAATATGCATAGACTCGTTAGTCCAGCCAAAACATAACTCCATAATTGATGCCTAGTTCGGCAAGGGTGGAAACTGGACTTCTACATGTCAGTTAACTCCCTTGTGTCGGGAAGATGGGCACTGACAAACCAAGACTCAAATCTGGCCTATTCTAGGAATTCAACCCATGATAATAGGTTTCTGGCACAACACAACACAGTGAATTCTGGTGCTCAAAATGTGCCCTGTCAAACAAAAGAAGCCTCTTAAGATAGTTGTATCTATATGTGTATATATTGTCATTATGTATCTTCGATATTGCCAGTGGGATGTTGAATTTGAACTCACTAACTCACTCACCCGTATGTGTATATCAGATATCCATTGTGATAAAGTATTTTCAAAAAGACAAACCAGATGGAACTCAAATTCAACTATAAATTTGGAAAATACTTGATTCTGATTATTCAACCTGAGGTTTCAAATCATAATAACTACCTACCTCTGATTGAGACAGCCAGTTTGATGGCCACATAACATCAGAAGCTCCTAGTTATTAAAAAAATACTTCTTTTTAAAACATTATTAGTGAGTGAGTGAGTGAGTTGGGTTTTATTGCCGCTTTTAACAGTATTCCAGTTATATCACGGTGTGTCAGCTTAATGTGGGAGGAAAGGCCCAAGTGATGCAGGTCTCAGACGTTTACTACTTTGGTGAAACCCACAAGCACGGGTATGGTGCAAAATTGGGGCGAACCGGGATTCGAACCCAGAATTATAGGTTTCTGGCGTGCCCAAGGGACACAACTCTGCACAGCGAATCGCGGCGCCTTAGCATGGTTCAATCTACTGGTAATAGCTCTACGACGAAAAAGCAGTATTTTTACTACCATGGATATTTAGAAAATAGGTTTCAAACCACAATAACTATCTCTAATTGATACAGCTGATTTGTCAACAACATCACCGCTGAAGCTAATATTTGAAAGAAAAGTTCTTCTTTCTCAAATATTATCAGCGCCTTTCTTTATCCTACTGTGACACCTCATTTCCATCACAACGAGGGGCACGGGTGGCCCAGTTGTCTAAGGCGCCGCGATTCGCTGTGCAGAGTTGTGTCCCTTGGGCACGCCAGAAACTTATGATTGTGGGTTCGAATCCCGGTTCGCCCCAGTTATGTTTCTAGGTTTGTCAGCACCATACCCGTGCTCATGGGTTTCACCGAAGTGGTAAACGTCTGAGACCTGCATCACTTCGGGCTTTCCTCCCACGATAAGCTGACACGCCGCGATATAACTGGAATACTGTTAAAAGCTGCATTAATCCCAACTCACTCACTCACTCACTCACTCCATCACAACGAGCGATGTCATGTCATCAAAAAGATGTACAGTGAAGAAGAAGACCTTGCAAGGATTACTTGATCTTTTTAGAGGCGCCCACTTCATGTTGACTGATGAAGTAGCTATGCTTAACACATTCAGTGCCTGTAATATACTACTCAAAAGAAGTTATAGAACAACTGATTTTCAAATAGTACTGCACTTAATCTGTCATGGTGGATTATTAACTATAGTAACATGAAAGAATCATGTCTTCTTTAACTTATATATATATATATATATATATATATATATATATATATATATATATATATATATATATATATATATATATATGACCCATGAAGATCCAGTGTAAAATAGGTCTTCAGCAACCCATGCTTGCCGTAAAAGGTGACTATGCTTGTCAGAAGAGGCGACTTACGGGATCAGGTGGGTCAGGATTGCTGACTTGGTTGATGCATATCATCGCATGGATGTTCATGATGTCAATCACTGGATTGTCTGGTCCAGACTTGTTTATTTTTCAGACCGCTGTCATATAGCTGGAATATTGCTGGGTGGGCGTTAAACAACAAACAATATATATATATATATATATATATATACACACAATCACGTTTATACAATCACGTACATTTCTGTATGTGTCGTACGCCTGCCCTATCGTCTTACGCCTGTCTTATTGTGACATCACAAAGTTAGACTGCACTTTGACGTCATACTATGTTAGAGTGCACTGTGACATCAGGACAGCGTAACGGTATAACTGTACTCTTGAAAATCACATGCGTGAAACCTGTTGAGTAAATGATACAGCTCATCTTTGGACTTTTGTATTTCATCTATATTTTCTACTTTGAGCTAGGTAACTGGAAGATGTAACCACTATAAATGTAACATTTGTAACCATATGTACCGTATTCGATGTAATAAGCACCTGCTCTAATAAGCGCCCACGGCGATATTTGCTAATATATTGGCTAGTGAACAATCTCAATTAGCGCCCCTTCCCATTGATCAATGTACACAAGACTTATTTATTTGTGTATAATAAGTACTGGTGTCATATGCATCCTTAATTATGGGCAATTGAATTCTGGGAAAATATATCTGTTGTGTATAATATGCAAAGACTTTTCTTTTGTATCATTTCAGGCTGTCAGCATAAACCACGAAATTTACGATCTTTCAACTCTGTTTTCTTTCTCACCAAAATTATATTCTAATAAGAGCCCCCTATTTCTAATTTTGAGAGTACCCTGGGCATTTATTACGTCCAATACAGTATTTGGACCCTACTTCAATTTAGTGTGGTTAAATCTACAGGTGACCATGTTCTACACTGAAGACTCAGTATGTTTATCTCCTTGTAATCTCCAATGTACATGATGTAAAAAGACTTTATTGGATCTTGGAAAAGTTCGTCCCACTTGGTAGACCATTGAGTCTTTAACTTGACATGTAAACATATTGTAAACATACTTCACATACACAACAAACAAACCCAATTGTGTGGATCGATGCTCATGATATTAATCACTGGATTGTCTGGTCTAGACTAGATTATTTACAGAACGCCGTCATATAGCTGTAATTTTGCTGAGTGTGGGGCAACAAACAAACAAACTACAAACATAACTATATTTTCCCACCAGATCGACACAATTTTTTGCCAAATACAAAAACAAATAATGACCTACATATTTTTTAGTATTTTAAATTCTACCTACAAAAGCTTATTGGTGAACAAAAACTCAGTAAACCATGACCATAAAGCTATGACTGCATCCGTGTACTGTGTAGTTAAACATACAAGTTCAAACACACCTTCCACTTTTAATGATAAATCCCCTCCATGGTCTAATGGATAAGAGCATCTGCCCTGAGAGCTTTAGATTGGCAGTCCAACCCCTTTGCCATGTCCACATTGTTAAAAGATGGTACTTGTTGAAACCCTGCTTGGCGCTCGGCATTAAGGGGCTAAAACAAGGACTTGTCGTCTTGGAGTCAGTATACTGTGTCTGAATGGGATATTCATGTGAAATTGAGGCATGTTATCTCAGTGGGCTAGCACTATTAAACCGGCATTAATCCATACTAGTACAAGCACACAGACAGACAGACAGACACACGCACACACACACACACACACACACACACACACACACACACACACACACACACACACACACACACACAGACACACACACACACACACACACTGTCTCACACACACACACACACTGTCACACACACATTTCTGTTTCACCTCCTGTGGGATCAGCTCTACTCAGTCATGCCTACACAGATATATAAGGAGGGGAGATGATGTAAACCACTTACTTTATCGACAACAAGATTTGGTTTTTCTGACAAATGTTCGTTGACCTCAACCAGCATCCCTCTGATGCAGCTGTACACGGTGAACTCCGACCCATCTTCACATGTAATTATACACAGTGGCGAGTTGGCTTTCAAAATCTGGGCACCCTGAAATGGAGTCTCTTCATCAAGCCTTTGTCATAATGTTCCTTTATATACTCATTATTAATATTGTATGTACATGACAATGTAAAAAATCCATGACAAGAGCATCTCCATGTATCTTAACACATGGACTGATTTTTGTTTGCAGTTTATAAAAAGATAAACAAGTTCTTATTTAAGGCCGGCCCGTGAAGATTACGGGGTAGAATAGGTCTTCAGCAACCCATGCTTGCCGTAAAAGGCAACTATGCTTGTCGTAAGAGGCGACTAACGGGATCGGGAAGTCAGACCCGCTGACTTGGTTGATGCATGTCATTGTATCCCAATTGCGTGGATCGATGCCCATGATGTCAATCACTGGATTGTCTGGTCCAGACTTGATTATTTACAGACCGCCGTCATATAGCTGGAATATTGCTGATTGCGGCATTAAACAACAAAACAAAACACAACAAGTGTTTGCAACTAACGTGGCCAACGCCCCTGTTGCAGAATTTATGACATAATTAAATCTAAATAAACCCTAAACTTTTTTAACCGAGGCGAAACTGGTCATAGAAATTGTGAAAAAAAGAAGAGTTTGGAACCTAAGTCCGTGTTGCTGCCATGGAAACGTAAAAAATAAAAAATTCAAAAATTTCTAAATAGCAAAAGGCACCAGTTCAGCATGTACCTGACAAACCTGCAAAGTTTCATGAAAAAATATTGAACGGTTTATGAGTTATGCTCCGGAAAGGAAATGTGACGGACGGACGTAAGGACGGACTGACAGACAGATGTAAGGAAGGACGGACGGACGGACGGACGGACGGACGGAGCCCGTTTCTATATCCCTCGCCAACATTGTGGGGCGGTGGATAAAAAACAAGCTGCCAGAAAAAGGAATTTTGAGGTTCCCTATTCCTGATCACATATGGAAGTTCCAGAGAACAGTTCCGACTTTCTGGAATTCTCTGTTGTAGTATATTTTGGCTGTTCTGGGAACATGAAGCTGGACAGTCCTGTCTCATGCATTCATCATACTCGTGACAGCACTGACACTACTTGTGGTTTTACATGACCTGCATGTCACATATCACAGCTTCGCTCTATTCACTCCTGTCTTGAACATGTTACAATCACTGTTAACTTGATACTAGTCAAGAGCATGTCCAGGTAATGAAGTGAGGAAGTGTGTTTAACATAAATGATGTCACCTCATAAGACGCTGGCATGCCCAGGGGGCACAACTCTGCACTGCAGATTACATAGCCTCAGGTGATCAATCAGCTTACAAGTGTAGGGATTGACAGAAACACAAGATTGCTAACCTTCTCCCCTTTAGACTATTCCTAGTCTAGCACATCAATCATCAAAATCAGAAGTGCATGGCAATATACAGGTATACAGAGATATTTCATACTGTTAGAAAACAGAAAACAGGAGCTGAAGGGAATAGCAGATGGGGTCAGGACAAGCTCATTAAAATGAGATCTTGCTACCACGTCAGAACGACCTTTCATCCAACCAATCAGTGGCTTAACGACTCGGGAAAGTGAGAGTTCAAATCATGCATTGGTCGGTTAAAGTTCACAAAGGTTGTTATGACGTGACCTGTAATGGGTTGTTTTCAGTTATTTCGTGTAGCAGAAACGAGCACTAAGATCTAATTTTAATGAGATTGGTTATATAAATTACTTAATACACTTGCTTAACAATAAACAATTAATGCTTTAAATAAAGAAAACAGGATAATTCACATGCTAATATTACCTCAATCTTATCAAAATCAGATACAAGTTCTCGCTATCGACGAGGACATCCCATTACAAGTCATGTCAGAACAACCTTTCGCGAACTATGACCTACCAATGAAATGACCAACAGGAATTGACATTAGCCACTTAGAAAGCAGCTTTCTTAAGCTTTGGGTACCAGTTTCAAAGCTGCGACTTCCATTCCAGACGATGCTTTTTAAAGTATTTTGAATCGGTCATACAGTCCGTAACAGTTGTTTTGTGTTAAACTTTAAAGGTTGCATGATTAGAAAACATATTCCGCCAACAATGTAACATAACAATATGAATATTTATTTTATTATTACGTGTTTGAATCCTTATATCTATCGTGTAGTTGTCCAATTTTCGATCACAAACGTTGATACTACCTAATTTTGTTTATTCGACATACTCGTTAATCCGACATAATCATATGCAACCATCGATGTCGGATTAACGGGACTTGACTGTATTTGTAATGATGATGAAAATGAGTCACTTCCAAGGCAATATTGAATGCTATTTGTAAGACAACTTCTCCCAGGACAGTCACATTCAGTCCTTGCTTGGACATGCAGAGCATCCCTATCAAAAGCTGAGTGGTATATTTAATATTTGTCTTTTTCTGCTGATTTGTAATCATAATTTCATGTGATTCTGTTTCATAATTTAATGTACAGGAATGCCCCAGAAGGAGAGTATATAACAACAATGTTGATAGCAACGTTTAAATTAGTAATTAAAAGAAGACTCACTCTTTTTGATTTTCCAGTAACTTTATTGTCAAGTCTGTCGATGTTGTCCTTAACTTTAAAGTTGACAGATGTGACCGTTTTCTTTTGGGCAACAACAGGATGAGATTGTGCCAATGTTACAATGCAGATTCTGGAACAGAAAGGTGAACGTATACTGTACACTCTATGTTCTTGTGCATGATGTGCACTTCAGCATAATGCACACTTCAACATAATGCACACTTCAGCATAATGCACTCCCGCGACTCATGGGTAAAAAATGTGGGAGAAAATGGTATCTTGAGTATAATGCAAAGTAAGAAACTACATCATAATACTTATAAGTCAAAGTATAGCGTAAGCTGAGATGAAGGTTATTGCACCATGGGCGCGCGCATGTGCGTGTGTGCGTGGCTACTTGTACTAGTCCGGACTGAGGCCGATTTATACTACTAGCCCATTGAGATACCATGCTGGGGTTTAAATGATACCCCACTCAGACACAGTATACTGATTCCGAGCCAACCTGTTCTTGTTTTAGCCCCTTAATGCTGAGTGCCAGGCAGGGTAACAACAAGTACCGTCTTTTGGTATGACGCGGCTGGTAACAACCGAACACAGTGGTTAATCCTTTTTCTCCCATAACAATACGCCATAAAATGTTGAGCTCGTAGTTGAAGATTTCCTGTGTTCAGTAACCACTCGGGATTCAAACCCCAGACCTTTCCCTCTCCCGGCAGACATCTCTACCACTAGACCATGCATGCAGTCGTCAAAGTATAGCATTTATTATTAATTCTGTGACAACAAAGGTTCTTTTCACAGCATCAATATAGTTCATCTGATCACAGTTGCTGTAAATAATCATGAGTTGGTGAGATAGGCAGATCACTTCACATTGACTTTAGTGATATTTTAGTAAACATCATGGAATTAAATTTTTATGGATAAAAAGAACATATATATTGAACTCTTTTTTTACCAGATTAAGCAATAACAGGACTACCTGGTAGACTTCAGTGCCAATTTGTTTACATGGTATATCCTGTGTTACGTACCAGCAGTAATCATGGTGATGTTTTTGCTAAAAAAAAAAACACATTGTCTGCATGTATAATTTGCACCCCTTTTCTTCCCACACACTATCTAGAAAGTAGGTTATTTAAAAGTTGGGTAGAGATCTGATAACAAGTCATAATGCAATTAACTCATTAATTAGTAAAACATGGCTCCATCAGGTTAGGTTAAATGTTGTTTCAAACAGTATTCCAGTTCTATCACAGTAATACGCCTCCGTGGTCTTGTGGTAGAGCGTCCGCCCGAAAAGCGGAAGGTCCATGGTTCGATCCCCGGCCGCGTCATACCAAAAGACGTTAAAAGATGGTACTTGTTGTTACCCTGTCTGGCGCTCTGCATTAAGGGGCTAAAACAAGTACTGGTCGGCTCGGTGTCAGTATACTGTGTCTGAGTGGGGTATTCATGTAAACTGCGTCATGGTATCTCAGTGAGCTAGCACTATAAATCGGCATGCATGCACGTCACTATATAAGTGAAATAATCTTTGACGAGACGTTAAACCCAATTTCACCTCACCTCACCTTCTATCACAGTACATAATGTGGGAGGAGAGCCCGAAGTGTTGTTGTTCTCAGATGTTTACCACACTGGTGAAAACTAACAGCATGAGTAGGGTGCAGACAAGCCGAGAAACATAATCACTGTGAACCAAGATTCAAACCCATAATCACAGGTGTCTGACACAACTAAGGGACACAACTCTGCACAGCAAATTGCTGGTCCTCAGACGACTGGGCCACTCTTGCCAGCATTAATTGTTTGTTTGTTTGTTTATTTGTTGTTTAACGCCGCACTCGGGAACATTCCAGCTTTATGACAGAGGTCTGTATAACAATCGAGTCTGGACCAGACAATCAAGTGATCGACATCATGAGCATCGATCCACGCAATTGGGATACAATGACATGCATCAACCAAGTCAGCGAGCCTGACCTCCCAATCCCATTTATCGCCTCTTATGACCAGCATGGGTTGCTGAAGAACTATTCTACCCCGGATCTTCACTGGTCTCGCCAACATTAAAACCTGACAGTTTGTAGATTTGTAGATGATGTTCCAAACTGATCCCCTGTGGAGCGTACCTGTTGGAATGGGACAATACACAGTGGTCCTCCCTCTGCTTCCCTTTCACATCTGGAATAAAGGCAGCAACACACAGGTGAATACATGACATTGGGCAATGAAAAAGCAGTACCTGGTACTTGGCTGGGGTCAACCAATCCCACATTCTTTTGATAATAATAATAATAATAATAATAATAATAATAATAATAATGATGATGATGAACGAGACTATTGATATCCACAACCCTTTGCTATAAATAAAAATGGATGTCAAAACAGAAAACAAAACTACAGTGTTGGAAACATCTAGTGATCAAGTCCTGTATTATTTTATAATAATAATAACAATAAGTGAATTTATATTGCGCCAGATTCCATTCACCAAGTGGATGCCCATAGTGCTACACTATTATTACCCCGGTCAATGGATCAGTGAGCACTCGATTTTCATTCTCAGCTCCCTGGGGAGTATACAACCCAAGCTGCCTGTGAGGCACTAGAAGGTTAACAGTAGGGGTGACTATTGGTCTGGAAATCACTATTGTGATAACTATTGATATTGAAAGAAACTATTGCGATAACTATTGATATTGCAAGCAACTATTGCAATAAATATCGATAGTTTTCAGTGTATCATTTTAGATGGATTTTAGAGTTGAATTAAACCTTTGAAGTTTCCTTTGAATGTGATAACCATAACAACAAATCAAAAGTAAAGTTTGAGATATGATTTATTTGTTTTTTCTTTACCCTAATAATTTAAGAAAAGAAACTTCCACATTACCATGTGTGAATTACTACCACTCACGATCAAAAGAAAAACAAATTTGAACAGCATTGCATGTATTTTATTGATAATATTATGGTAAATACAATCGAAACTATCGATATTCCCAACTGAAATCGATACTATTGATCGGAAACTGATTTAACAATCGATTTATTGTCTTCAAGTGCTTACCAATAGCAATATATTGATATTTTTATTTATCGTGGCACCCTTAGTTAACAGCCACATTACCATCTCATCCTACTGGGTACCCACTCACTGCTGGGTAAACAGAGGCACATTTTGAACAAAGTCACTTGCCCCAAGAGACACCACGTTTGGTACATGTGCTTCAGTGTGGGGCAGGACCGAAGCCCTAGAATCTCTCAGGAGTCAAGCTACTGAACGTGGTCACCCATCCAACTACTCTCCGAGGCCGACGTTGCTTAACTTCACCTGATTTGTGATCTGTGCGCTGTGCACAGGACCACATGCCACCACAAAACATATATTCTGTTCTGTTTTTATAAGGGCAGTTGGGTAGCCTAGTGGTTATCCCGACAAGATCTTTTTATATGTATCTTGGGTGGGCTATATTTCTGTAGCATCTGTGCTGACATTATTTACACCACCAACAATATCACAGACTTGTGTAAGTATGTAGCCAACGCCAAGGTAAAATTAAAATACCTATGGTAATGCCAAATCACTTAAATTAATCACAAATAAAATGTGTATATGACTAAATGAATTACTTGCAGATTTCTAAAAGATACATAAACCGAAAGAAATCATTCCTGGGTCGGCCAATACATGACAATTCGGAGCTTCACCATTAAATTATACACGATATTTTATTTCCAGATTATATGTTGATGGTAAAGTGTAATCAGTGAATACAATTTTAAAGTAATCATTGGGTTGATGTAAGTTATCTCCCTTCCTTCACCAAGTATAGTCATATGTCACATTCACCAGCTTTTCACTACGTACTGATTTTAAAACGTTGTTCGAAATATCTTTCTACAACAGTAGGGGGTCTTTTAGATCCTAAGGCTTCATCTTGTTCAACGTCCATCTTCGCATTGGGCTCACTGTTGTCCATTTTGATCTGTAGAAACAGGTTTTCCTCTACTCCGGAAGTCAGTACTTTTTCAACTTTGTGTACAAAGAAGACAAGAAGGGAGATAACTCCTTACTTACAGTTTTTTTCCCAAACAGTTTTCGATTAACATTATTAAGAAAAGTCGGTGATTGGAAAACGTACAAATGATTGTTATCGTTGATAAATAACATTCGTAGATAAAATAAATAAAAAAACATGTTAAATACCATCGATATGTTCTTGGTTGTTTTTCTGATTTTAGATCTACGGTCGATTCTGGTTTTTTCTTAAAATGCTTGAAAGTCTGAAAGAAAGTGAGACAATATTGCACACCCATGCTTTTAGTTGATATTAGTTAATAAAAATTTCCATTCATTTTCCACCTGTTATTATGGTTGGGATGTATCTCTTTCTTTCTTTTATTTCATAGCACTTACATCGATCTGTAGGCACTTAATATTTAAATAAACATAGCATTCGACAGCTTTCAGTACGTAAAACGAAATCTATTTTCCCATTGATTATTGTAAATATCGGACGCAAATTGAAAACAACAAAACATTAAAGTAAATTTGTAGAAATAGTTGTCTACTCTAAGATACAGCTTATGCTTCATATTTGCCAACATGAAGGTCATATACACAAAACAGAAATGGCACTTATATATTTTTCAAGCAACTAAATTACATATAGTATTTAACAATCACTACGTCGTTGTTGTCATACTCCAAAGTATTAACTTACGGATGTGTCCTCTAAATGAGGGGGCACGGGTGGCCCAGTCGTCTTATGTGCTCCCATTCGCTGTGCAGACTTGCGCACTGTGATTGTGGGTTCGAATCCCGATTTGCCTCGATTATGTTTCTAGGTTTGTCAGAACCATACCCATGCTCGTGCGTTTCACCAAAGTGGTAAACGTCTGACACCTGCATCACTTCTGTCTTTCCTCCCACATGAACCAAACACGCCGTGATATAACTGGAATATTGTTCATAGCGGCGTTAAACCAAACTCACTCATTCATTTACCTGATGCTCAGTTTGCCTACTTGTCTACATACCTATTATCCCACCCTCAGGTGCGTGTGATAATTCGGATGATTTACAACTATTTCCATTCATTTTTCACTGGTTATTCTCTGGTTTGCAACAATTTTATATGTAAATATTGCTGCTCTCGCTATTTCGTAAAATTAGATTTTATGAGCGCTTACAATTCATATTCCAAGAGAAGCCAAGAAGACCCTAAGCTTGCTAACCGCCCTCACTTAATATGCTATAAACGGTGTCTGAAATCTCACAGTCTCACATTACACCAAGCGCTGGTTGTATCGGATGCCGATTTTGCCAATTGTTCATCCTCAGAACAATATGAATATCAGTACATATAAATATATTAAATCTTGTTGTGATAAAAGTTTACACTATCTCACACTATCCCACACAGGCTGCTGTCAATAACATGTGAGCCTATTGATGTGTCGATTTATTTAGAAGCTGACACAAATAGTGTAAAATTAACCTTTACGATATAGGAGATTGTTTTGAGTTTTAATTTTGTGAACGTGTAACTGATGCTGTTTGCACTCAGTCACCTATTGACATTACACATTTCACATAATTTTACTTTTCTTCTTTGACATTTTGTTTAACTTATTGTCTATGAACCAAATACTTCGTCTTGTACAAACCAATATATTCAAGAAATGTCACTGATATTTGCCTCTTGGGCAAAGTGAAATCAGTTATATTTGAAGTAGTCGTAAAATGCTTTTCACAATCTAAAGAGAAACGGTATCCCACGTATGTTACACCGAGTTGTTTATTCGACAAAGGGACCGCCGGCCTATTTTGAGTGAGTGAGTATGGTTGTACGCCGCTTTTAGCAATATTCCTGCAATATCACGGCGGGGGATACCAGAAATGGGCTTCACACATTGTATCTTTGTGGGGAATCGAACCCAGGTCTTCGGCGTGATGAGCGAACGCTTTAACCACTAGGCTACCCGACCGCCCCCGGCCTATTATACGCCAACTTGATACAGACTACATAAAGTATTGTAGTGGAGTTCCTTGTATAAGGGACATCAAGACAATGAGATGGTGAGATGGGTATGCATCATAATTAATATGATTATATATATAGTGTAGTGTAGTGTAGTGTAGTGTAGTGTAGTGTAGTGTAGTGCAGTGCAGTGCAGTGCAGTGCAGTGCAGTGTAGTGCAGCATAGCATAGTAACACATTCTCCCATGATTATACATGTAGTATAGTATAGTATAGTATAGTATAGTATAGTATAGTATAGTATAGTATAGTATAGTATAGCATAGTATAGCTCATTCTCCCATGAGGTCACCTCAAGATGTCTACATCAATAATGATGGAGACATTAAAACAGCTCTGTGACGCAGTACTGAAGCTGAGATTATAAATTATTCTAACAAATCATATACACTGAAAACAATATGAACAGTTTGTGATGGTTATTTTTTTTCACATCTTGGTGAAATCTAAGATTTGTCTCGATCTTAAATTGTGTATCAAAATATGACATTTACAAACATGCACCTACTGTATGAATACCGGACTTAACCAAACAAGTTTAAAATAGACTCATCAGAATAGATCTTTGAAAGAATAGGTTTCTGTATGCATCATAAGTCTCCCGCAGCGCAAAGACTGCTGTTAAACCATCCTCAGTGAGAATGGCCATGTTATGCTGCCTGAAGCAGTCATTCCATGTAGTTTCGGTGGAAACGAGATAATCATCACTGGAATTGAGTACACGTGTGTTCAGTGTTACACGTTTTTAACATGTATTACGGCAATTCACGTGTATGTAAAAATGCTTTAACTTAAAAACTTAATATTGCAGTATCTTAATATCGTCTTAATATCGTCAGAATATCGTCAGAATATACCAAACACCCAAATGAAATACATTTAATAGGAACCACCTGTCCAGGAGCTTGAGTCACACCTCCAGGTTATAAAAGGGCACTAACATAGTGAGTGAGTGAGTATGGTTTTACGCCGCTTTTAGCAATATTCCAGCAATATCACGGCGGGGGACACCAGAAATGGGCTTCACACATCGTACCCATGTCGGGAATCGAACCCGGGTCTTCGGCGTGACGAGCGAACTCTTTAACCACTAGGCTACCCGACTGCCCGGCACTAACATACGCCTAATCAATATATATAATGTAACCACTAGTAACTGCTGGGCAAAAGAAAGTATAGAAATAGTTTCATACGGGTAACACAGTTGTGTTTTGGACCTTGAGTTTAGGCGACTATTTCCAGCCTATAGTAATTTAATGCTTCGATAACGCTTGTAATGTTTGGGTCAAATCTATTTTTCAAGGGAATACTTCCCGTAGTTTATCTGTTAATTCCTGCTCACAGCGGTGTCAGTTGACGCCGAATCACTGAAGATGAGGCATTTTCTCTTTAGAGACCGACCGAAACTGGTGGCAAGACCGTGTGGCTAATGGTAGAAGGCCCATGTGTGCCGAGAAGTGACACTGGCCACGCGTCACGTAAAACAACAGCCATCCTTATGTACACTTACACGTTTTTCTTTGTAATCCGGATAATCACCCATAATCCCTTGGCCACGCCTTCTTTAGTTTAGAAAGTAAACTCTCGCAAACAACTGTATTGCATAACTGGAAGGCATGCCTGTTGTCTATTTGAAAATGCTTCCTTCAACAATTCAACAGGATACACCAAGAAAGTGTTTTTAAAAAACAGTGTTACTGTGAGGAAAATAATAAAACGGTGGTCTTATCAATCGTATATGTTTTCTCTGTTTGTAACCCTACTTCTGTGGAATACCACGTCACACTCGCATACACTGGCACATTATTTTCACAGACATTTAAAAACGTGTTTTTTGCGGAAGCATATGCTATTTAGAAGCATGTTTTGAGCGCCATTGAACAGCAAGTAGTTGGAGACTAGGCGTTAAATAAATAAATAAATAAATAAATAATAATGCTAATGCTAATGCTGATGCTAATGCTAATGCTAATGCTAATGCTAACGCTAATGCTAATGCTAATAATAATTATTATTATTATTATTATTATTATTATTATTACGCAGTATAAGTTACAAACCCAACAAGGCGGCCACCACTGATGCATGAAATTTATTATTTTGGACAACACTTTGTTTTAGTAAGTGAAAATAAGACAAAGAAATCACCGTAGTTATCCAAGACAATTTACTGGCAGTTTGTTATTTCATCGTCATACAGACGAGGCATGGCATAATGTCAACACTCGGACAGTATGTGGTTACATTAAAAAGTTCGAATCGGGTGCTACGAATTCTTGAACCGGCAACGAAATGGCAGATAAACGAAATTACACCCAATGACAGGTATACACAGCATCGGCAATAGGCGAACAGCCTTACTGTTCTTATTATTATTGAACCCGTGAAGGATCCGGGGTAGAATAGGTCTTCAGCAACCCTTGCTTGCCGTAAAAGGCGACTATGCTTGTCGTAAAAGGCGACTAACGGGATCGGGTGGTCAGGCTCGCTGACTTGGTTGATACATGTCATCGATCCCAATTGTGTGGATCGATGCTCACGATGTCAATCACTGGATTGTCTGGTCCAGACTCGAATATTTTACAGACCGCCGTCATATAGCTGGAATACTGCTGAGCGCGGCGTTAAACAACAAACAAACAAAACAAACTTATTATTATTGAAAAGTATTCATTCAATTACTTTATGACAGTAAGTAATGTTTATTAGTTTAGGGAACAACTAGACACTAGCATTAAAAGTGGGAGGTATTCTATTTCACCACGACACGAAATATTTGTCCTAGGTTTTACGACCGATATATATAGGGCCTCTTAGCATCCCTTGTATAACAAAAACAATGTTGACTGACTGATTATGAACAGGTATTTTACACAATTTGAACTGTTAACGCCAGTATCCCAAAAGAAGCCGAACTAATTTTATTTCATTTCTGACACAACTTAACCACATGCCCCGCAACTGAGCGTCGCTAATCCCTTTCAAGATCAAACAGCAGCCACAGCCAACAGTATATATCATGAACAGCATGTCGACAGCAACATTGCCATGACACACGTCGCATCACGCATGGGGGTTTTAACATTTCTGTAACGTTTATTCTTGTATTTTCGTGTTTGAGTATTTATAGCACAAAGCCAAGGACATCAGACGCTTGACCTGTACTGGTGCTGGGGTCAAGGTCGCCGTCTACTGAAGCTACCTCAAATTGTCTCTCAGCGAAATTATACATATATATATATATATTGGCTTAAGGCGTCTGTTTTAATAACTTGGTTAACGCTTCATAGGGTCTGTGGTAGAACAATAATACAATTTTGAAACCTGCTTTTCAGTTATCACATTAAAATATTGTCAGTTGGCCGAAAATAATAATAAAATATAATGGAGAAAAATTAATAAAATACAATTAAGAATTTGAAAAATATTTTTGATTAATGACAAGTCACAGTATTATTTTCCTTTAGTTAGAGACCGATCATTTAGTGTTCTAGCGGAGGGAGCGGGGGGGGGGGGGGGGGGGGGGACGGGGGGAGGGGAGGGGAACGGGGGGTTGTTTGTTTGATACACACAAAAAATTTCAGTCAGCGCTTTCAAACATACATTTTTTCTGTAAAAGGAGGAACCCAACATCGGCCGGCGGTATGGTAGCCTAGTGGTTAAAGCGTCCGCTTGTCAATTGCGTGGATCGATGCTCATGATATTAGTCACTGGATTGTCTGGTCCAGACTCGATTATTTACTGACCGCCGTCATATAGCTGGAATATTGCTGAGTGCGGCGTTAAACAACAAACCAACCAACCAACCAATCTAACAAGCTAGATTAACCTGTCATAAAATTAATTTTGACATAATGTACATATAACTTAAGGACGTAGCATTACAGCATGGCTAGTGTCATTCGTTGTGCACGAGGGGCGGTTTGGTAGGCAAGTGGTTAAAGCGTTCGCTCGTCTCGCTCATGATCCGGGTTCGAGTCTCCCAAACATGGGTTCAATGTGTGAGGCCATTTCTGGTGTCCCCCGTGATATTGCTGGAATATTTCTAAAAGCGGCGTTGAACCATACTCGTTCACTCACTCGTTGAACTCGTGCAGGTCGCTGTTCAGAGTTGTGTCCCCTAGTGTATCAGGATCCACTGTTCGAATTCCTGACCCATTCTGCATGGGTTATATTAGCTGAGTTGCTGTGATTTAACAGAATTATTGTTAAATAGGACATGGTAGCAACGATCATGTAGGGTACGATGACACGCAATCAGTCACAATGTAACCAGCTAATTCAAGTTCTTACCTAGATGTGATAAAAAGCCCAGTTTATTGAGACCTATTCTGCACCCGATTCTAGGCGGGGTAAAGAAACTACTAACCGTGAATGTATTATGATAAAAATAGATTACCTGACAATACAGCCAGTGAACACGGAAGTAAAACCGGGCACGTATATGTGAAAGAAGCAGCGTGCTACTGAACGGTTCAGTCTTCTCTTGGTGAGATATGTATAGCCGGATCCAATTTCATAGATAACCACTTCATTGAACCGTAGCGGGAGCGACTTGACCCGACACCGGTGGATATAGCGCCATCTACAGGCACCTGTTGAGAGTTTCAACGATGGCGGGGATACACGAAGGTCCTGAATATGGGATCGGGGATTTTGTACTACTGCGAGATCTTACTCTCGATGCTTTTATGGAAAATCTTAAACACAGGTAGGTAATTGTGTGTGATAGTATGCATATATATGATTTTCGTTGTATGACAAGTTAGAAAAACTCATCACACCACACTCTAACTTCATATTGACTGACAAACCTCATTGATTGTGAGTCACCTCTTGCCGGCTCTTGCACATTGCATTCCACAGGGGAGATTCATATGGACTGACGAGCTCGGAAACACTGCTAATTACTTTGTACCGCGGGTCCCAGCTCTGAATATGGTGAAAGTTTTCTTGCAAACTCGTCTGCATTGGCGTATCAATCAGACAGGTGAGCAGCCATACCTGAAGTGAAGTGGTCGTGTTTAATTTGAAGGGGCAGGATGACATTTTTGACGTCTGTGATAGTGTGTAGCCGCTGTAAAATATACAATCTATTGTTGTACTTGACATAAAACACTTATCAGATCTATAACATTCAAAAACAGTAACTTGTTAAACGTATACTACTCAAAATAAGTTAGGGAACAACTTAATTATTGTTTCATTCATCTGCCATGCCATATAGATATATATGTGTGTGTGTGTGTGTGTGTGTGTGTGTGTGTAATGCTTTTTTATAATGAATAAGTGATTAAGTAGAAGGCCATGCCTGGTGTATATGAAGGGATGCACATTTAAAGCATCATGTGATTTCGAAAGTACAATATTATATGCTATTATACAGCATTGCAAAAGATCAACAAAACTGTTAATAATCAACAAAGTGAAACAATGTGATGAAAACTAAAATAGAGTACATAATAGGGAGGTTGTACAGCATTAAGAAAGACCCATAAAACTGTTGAACAATCTACAAAGTGAAACAATTTAATGAAAAGTAGCATCAGACCATAGGAGATATTGACCATATCATCCCCCATGCTGAGTGGTCATGGATGTTTAGTGTGCCATGTCACTTTGACCTGTATGAGGATCAACAGGTGTTATCAACAAATCAGTATCAACAAGTCTTACATAGTCATGTGCTTAGATATGAAACTATTAATTCCACAATTATTGAGACACCTACTGTTGAATATCTTGGGGACTGTTAGAGATACTTTTCAGGTCACTGCTTCAAAACACACACTTTTTTCTTGGAAAGGAGACAAACAATTTATTTTTATTCACAACTCCCTTTTTCTGAGGACATCCTTTATATATACTTTTGTAATATTTTTTTAAAACTTTTTAAAAAAATTTTAAAATTTATTTTTTATTTTAAACCTGGACAGATAAGGCTGAAAAACACCAAAAAATCAACTGGTGCCTATGAATCACATGTGCTCCTAACCTAATTAAGGTTAATAATAATCATGATAACTCAAGCCTCTTCATCCTCGTGCTGCTTGTTCATTTTTATAAGGGGCGGTCGGTTAGCCTTGTGGTTAAAGCGTTCGCTCGTCACGCCGAAGACCAGGGTTCGATTCCCGACATGGGTACAATGTGTGAAGCCCATTTCTGGTGTCCCCCGCCGTGATATTGCTGGAATATTGCTAAAAGCGGCGTAAAACCATACTCACTCACTCATTTTTATAATCTTTATTTTGGAAGCAACATCTGCATCTCAGTCTCTCACCACACACTTAGCACCAAATGTTTCTCACTCATGAACATAATGTGATTGCATGTCTATGTTTAGTGACATTTGAATCCAGTATTTATCATAATAGAATGGAGTTATTATTCCTTGGGTAGACCCGTGAAGACCCGGGGTAGAATAGGTCTTCAGCAACCCATGCTTGCCGTAAGAGGCGACTAAGAGGACAGGGTAGTCAGGCTCGTTGACTAGGTTGATGCATGTCATCGATCCCAATTGCGTGGATCGATGCTCATGATGTCAATCACTGGATTGTCTGGTCCAGACTTGATTATTTACAGACCGCCGTCATATAGCTGGAATATTGCTGAGTGCGGTGTTAAACAACAAATATAAAACAAACAAATATTCCATGGTTAACCAAGGATGATACCATGAGTTTAATCCAACTAGTCCACAGTTTATTCCTGTCTATTATTGTATGTAACGTAACAATATTTATTGAGAAAACATATTACATAAACCCTACCCTGCCCAAAAGTAGAACTCTTTTCGTTTTTGTTATCCTGACATATCCTGAGTTTTCCCACTATACGATCTTAAGACCTGGGTGAGGCGGTATTGTAGCCTAGTGGTTAAAGCGTTCGCTTGTGACGCCAAAGGTCCGGGTTCAATTCCCCACATTGGTACAATGTGTGAAGCCCATTTCTGGTATCCCCTGCCACGATATTGCTGGAATATTACTAAAAGGGGTGTAAAACCATACTCACTCACACACTCTTAAGACTTGTGGATGAAAGATATTTTTACTTTACATTGCTTAACAATATTATCACTGATATTAACCTGAATACCCCTAACTGTTGCCATTGTAACAGGATATAAGTTGTCATCATGATGATACAGGCTTATTCAGATTAAATCAGCGTAAGAGGCTTGATTAGTGTTATAGAGCATATTTTGATCACAAAAAGAAGGATGTATTTGCAGTGGTTTGAATAAATATAATCAGTTTCACTTTGAAATATATGATTGACAGTACATGAAGAAATAAAAACTGAAAGTATCAAGTTATTTTTGAGACACTTGATAGTATTGTAATGATATCATGTTCAAAGCGATGACGAAATTCCTGTTATGGTCATGAAAGCATTTGAACAAGTATTGTTTGGATGGGGGAAGGTTCAAATACCAAAGTCAAACTTCATTAGTTAGTTTTGATTTGATTTCCTTGTTTGGACAGAAGAATGGAGTAAAGTGAATGAGTGAGTATGGTTTTATGCCTCTGTTAGCAATATTCCAGCAATATCACGGCGGGGTACGCCAGAAATGGGCCTCACACATTTTACCCAGGCTGGGAATTGAACCCGGGTGTTCAGCGTGATGAGCGAACGCTTGAACAACTAGGCTACCCAACCGCCCAGGGTGAGTAAAGCCTCAAATCTTGCAATGTGATATGTATCACGATACAGACTGACGATAACACTGGTATGATACACAACAAATATTAAGAAATGATGAAATCACTCAAATACAACTCTAAAGCCTCTTGCTTCTTATATTTGTTTGGGGACAGGGGGGGTCGGGTAGCCTAGTGGTTAAAGACTAATAAAAGTTCATCACGGCGAAGACCCGGGTTCGATTCCTGACATGGGTACAATGTTTGAAGCCCATTTCTGGTGTCCCCCGCCATGATATTGCTGGAATATTGCTAAAAGTGGCTTAAAACCGTACTCACTCACTATTTGGGGACACTGGTGGTTTAGTCATCTAAGGCACATTTCGCTGTGAAGAGTTGTGTCCCTTGGGCATGCCAGACACCTATGATTGTGGATTCGAATTCTGGTTCACCCCGATTATTTTTCTAGGTCGTCAGCACCATACTTGGCTCGTGGGTTTCACCAAAGTCTTCAACATTCGAGACCTGCATCACTCAGCTTTCCTCCCACATCAACAGGAATACTGTTCAAAGCAGCTTTAAACCTAACTCTCTCACCATTGCTCACTCATACATTTATTTATAATTATCTCAAAAGACCCATGAAGATTCGGGGTAGAATAGGTCTTCAACAACCCATGCTTACCGTTAAAGGTTACTATTCTTGTCGTAAGAGGCGACTAGCAGGATCAGGTTGATGCATGTCGTATCCTAATTGCATGGAACGATGCTCATGATGTCAATCACTGGATTGTCTGGTCCAGACTTGATTATTTACACACCACCGTCGGGGCGGTCGGGTAGCCTAGTGGTTAAAGCGTTCGCTCGTCACGCCGAAGACCCGGGTTCGATTCCCGACATGGGTACAATGTGTGAAGCCCTTTTCTGGTGTCCCCCGCCTTGATATTGCTGGTATATTGCTAAAAGCGGCGTAAAACCATACTCACTCACTCACTACACACCACCGTCATAGAGCTGGAATATTGCTGTGTGCGGCGTTAAAGAACAAACAAATCATATCCATCCCTGGATTGTCTGGTCCAGAGTATTACTTACAAGCCTCTGTCATTGGTGGGATTGCATAGTGCAACAAAGAAAGAAACCAACATATCTGACTAAATCCCACATAAAGTAGATTTGTCTCCTAAATGCTCTCACAGACATCAAGCATTTTGGAAGAAATGACCGCAAATAAAAACGTTGGCATTGATATAAAAAAATCTGTCTATTTAGCTATCACTATATTTCATCAACAACCAGACCTTCATTGAAACAGCCATCTGCATAATGCTACCCCTGCGTCACAGGGCCATATGACACAGTTGAACCAATCAACTCAACTAGAAAAGGTGCACGGGAATCACGCACGTTGAGACGCCAAACGCTAACACCATATTCGTGAGTGCATGATCCCCGTGCACCCTTTCGTGACGAACAGGTCTGGTTGTTGATGAAATATAGTGATAGCTAAATAGACAGATTTTTTATTCGTGCACCGATTGTCTTTAATGTAATATCCAATTATGTATGACTGTTTAATAATCTCATACCAACTTTGACTGGAGTAGGTCCGATAGTTTTTTAGATATTGTAGTAAACGTCGGTACCTTGAATTACCTTCCAGACTATGAGTGACATTTCTATTCTGATAAGCAGGGTTTGATAAACACTCACTGACTCAGTGTTCAGAACGTCAAAGGTTGATTTCTTATTCTAACATCGAAATCGCCATCTACAATAGGCTCCCGAGCATGTGAAATGATATGACTTGAGTACGTCTTGGATTTCTAGTAAAGCACGTCAGATGTTGACAGCCTGTGAGCCCAACTTCGTGCCTCGACCCCAAACATTATTACCGAGAGTCGAAAATAGTTAGACCCAGGTAAATCCCTGGTTGAAACTTGCTGTCAGAAATCTGATATCTCTGTCACATTGGTTTATTGTGTAATGTCAGTAAAGTTCATACAGAACAATTAACTGCGTATTGAAGCACTCATTTATTGATCAGTATTGATCGAGAGTATCCCACGGATCAATACAACTCCGTATCAGTCTTGATTGTAACTATAAATACATTATAGTCGGCCACAGTGAGCAAACACACAGCACTGAAAGATAACATTACAATATTTTGAAAGGAATTTAGTAAATTTGTCTTGATGTGTAACCTGAATCAAGACTACGTCTTTTGCAGCAAACTCAGTAGGCGGTCCTCATGGTCGACCCACTGCAAATGTGTCTTAAATTAAAAATATCTAGCCATCCTACTTTAAAAGTAATACTGTTATGTTTACAAGACACAAGGAGTTCTGGGTTAGAATAGGTCCCCCCAGCAACCTGTGCTGATTGCCAATTCCCCACATGGTTACAATGTGTGAAGCCCATTTCTGGTGTACCTGTCGTGATATTGTTTGAATATTGCTAAAAGCGGCGTAAAACAATACTCACTCACTCATGCCCTAATGACATGGTTTTTTGGCCAGAATAAATATCTGAGTTGTCTGGTCTAGATTTGATTATATACTATCCAATTTTTGACAAAGATAATCGTGATAATTACGTCAGATATATACTCACCACTGAAAGAAATGCCCACAATAGAAATGTATAGAGAAGCACGGACGTTAAGTAGAAATGTTTCCAATGTGTACCACTTAATGACAGAACTAACAATCAGTCAATTGTTATCACGATATGATCCACGTGATATCCAAACTTTACATGCTAATCGTGCACGAGACAAGTGGTGCATCTCGAGTCATGGATCAGATGAGATGCGTTCATGACCGTCAGTTCAGACAACCTAACAGTATGTTCATTTGTACATCGAACCAATCTAATATCTCTTGAATATGAGTAATTCTTCAAATATTAACCAGCATGTATGGTATTAGATTTCTTGTGAGTATATGTTTCTCTGTATCATGGAAAGATAAACTATCCCTATCAAGAGTGGAGTAGTATATTTGGGGATACATGGAAGACCTCAGGCTTAAAAACATGACACAATCAACTGGAGATATTTTGCACAAACAAAAGAAGTATGAAATAAACTGTAAAGGGGGCCCAGGTGGCCCAGGTGTCTAAGGCGCCGTAATTCGCTTTGCATAGTGGCGTCCCTTGGGCACGCCAGAAACCTATGATTGTGGGTTTCGAATCCCGGTTTGCCCTGATTATGTTTCTAGGGTTGTCAGCACCATACCCGTGCTCGTGGGTCTCACTAAAGTGGTAAAAGTCCAAGACCTGCATCACTTGGGCTTTCCTCCCACATTCGCCGCGATATAACTGGAATACTGTTCAAAGCGGTGTCAAACCAAACTGTTTGACAGTAAAACAACAGACTAAGGGACAAGTGGCTGTATCTAATCATATAACACTTAGAGTTAGACCATTGTAGACACAGGCCTAAATTTTAAAACTGAAGTTTGTCAAAAATGTGAACTCTATTGAGACCATATAATTTCCTGCACTGCAATATTATATATAAACTTTAATAGTTTATGCATACTTTATATATGCAGTATGTTTGTATTACTAGAGTGAATGTGTGAGTGAGACGTATGTTATTTTTTGTAAAAAAAACTAAGATGTACTAATAAGTTGTGCTATATGTCATAGGCTTTCTGCTACCTTGGGCGGAAGCGCATTTTATGTAACAGGTACTTCTTTTAAAAAATGAAAATAAAAAACAAAAGAAAAAAAGATGTGAACTCTAGCTCTCCTTTTTCATGTTTTGCAAAGAACATTTTTGTTGTGTACTGGCGAACTGTCAGTCAGAAGGACGTCGCTGAAACTGTAGATACAGGCCGTTTACTCAAAGAGTTGAAACACTCTTTATCCCAGGACAATATGTCTTACAAATAAAGTGAACTCTACCTTTGACCGATTAATGACAGCATGTTGACTGTCGGAATCAATACAGTGACAGAAGGTCCCTGCAAACATATGGCAGCCACCACATGGTGATTATGTGATGGATATGGATATTTGATCACAGTCCCTTGGTTGAATATTGGTTATAATACATTCATGGTCAGGGCTGAGTTGGAGCGTGTGATGTATATGAAGCGGGAATTGATACACAACAGAAGCTGACAAATGTGACTTGATCTGTTTGACTGGTGGAAGTGGCCCCACTGTTCTCCTTACATTGTTGGTGATGCGGTGGAGTTAGAATAATCATTACTGTATGTGTTTGTATGGAGCTTACAAGAGCTCCGGGTTCAATATTTGACCTCATTCTACATCATGACCGAATACTCCCATGAGAGGATAGTATTTCCCAAAATATTCCCCATAACTTAGCCGTAGTCATTTTTTGATAATAATCAATTTTTTTTATGGTATCTTGATTTTCAATAATTTTTTAAGTTACCCGTGTATATTTAACTTTTCCGATTGATTTGAATACAGTGTAGAATTGTATCCTTCTTCAAGTGAGCCATAAGCAGTTTGAATTATTACCAATCGGCACACATGCACACCATACGCACGCACGCCCAACACAGCACTTGAGCTGTCGGTGAAATGACTACTTTCGGTGCCAATCTCAACATTGTGCGTACTGGTCGCATATTTATGGGTCGTTTAAAACCCTGATATTGTCTGAGGACAGTGATAAATGATCTTTCGCAAACATGCAACATGACCATATATTTGTTTATTTGTTTGTTGTTTGAGATGTTCATTGTGTGGTCCAACCGCCCCCTTTGGGATTCAGGGTTAGAATTAGTCCCCAGCAACCTATGCTGGTCGTAAGAGTTTGTTTGTTGTTTAATTCTACACTCAGCAATATGACAGCTATTAGACGGTAATTTCTAAATAATGGAGTCTGTACCAGACAATCCAGTGATAGAAATCATGAGGATTGATCTACGCAATTGGGATACGATGACATGCATCAGTCAAGTCAGCGAGCCTGACCACCGGATCATATAAGTTGCCTCTACGGCAAGCATGGCTTGCTGAAGACCAATTATCAGATCTTCATGGGGTTGGTTGGAAGAGGCAACTGTTGATTGGGTGTTCTGGTTTTGTGACCTGCTTGTTAGCGTGTCACTGTATCCTGTCACCATGGATTGTTGCTCATAATGTCAATCATTGGTGGAGACTCCATTACGTTTTCCAGTGAGTAATTATTTAACGCTGCTTTGAACAGTATTTCAGTTATGTAACGACTAGTCAGCTTGATGAGGCTGGAACTTGAAGTGATGCAGGTCTTAGACGTTTACCGCTTTGGTGAAACCCACAAGCATGGTATGGTGCTGACAAACCTAGAAACATAATCGGGGCGAACCAGCATTAGAACCCACAAGTTTATGTTGTATGGAATATTGCTGAGTGCAGCATTAAACAACAAACAAACAAACTATCTTGGCTGGTTCGTATGTCAGATGTATTGTTCCGTGTTGCAGGTTTGAGAAGGGCAAGATCTACACCTACATCGGGGAGGTGGTTGTGTCCGTCAACCCATACAGGTCAGTGGATTTATACAATCAGAGTTACGTTGAGGAGTACCGAGGCCGGGAGATCTATGAGCGGCCCCCGCACATCTTTGCACTTGCTGACAATGCCTACAAGACGATGAAGAGGAATGCCAGGGACACCTGTATAGTCATTTCAGGTAAGCAAGCCCAAGATCAGAGGCTGTAATTTGGAACCAAGTTTAAAATGGCTGGTACCAGCCAGGTAGGATTCCAAACTTGGGATTAGAAAACTCCCTATTAATACTATTAGTATTATTGATGTGAATAATGTTACTAATGTTATTCTTTAGACGACAGACCGCCTCCGTGGTCTAGTGGTAGAGCATCCGCCCGGAGAGCGGCAGGTCCGGGGTTGGATCCCCGGCCGTGTCATACCAAAAGATGTTAAAAGATGGTACTTGTTGTTACCCTGTCTGGCGCTCGGCATTAAGGGGCTAAAACAAGGACTCGTCGGATCGGAGTCAGTATACTGTGTCTGAGTGGGGTATTCATGTTAAACTGGGGCATGGTATCTCAGTGAGCTAGCACTATAAATCGGCATCAGTCCGGACTAGTACAAGCAGCCACACATACAAGTCGCGATATAAGTGCAATAGTCTTGGACGCGACGTTAAACCACATTTCATTTCACCTCATCTTTAGACGACATAGTCGAGGTGACTTGTGTTTTATTGATGACAGAATGACAATAAAGGGAAAGAGGTTTATTGCTTGAATTCAGTGCAAATTAAATGCCTATGAATTTAAGAAAATAAGAACCATAAAAAAATCTAAATTTTGAACAAAATAAGGATTTTCCCCCAATTTGTATCTGCATTGCTAAACATATTTCGATACATTGCAATACATTGGGAGCTGAAGTGATTGACACTGATTGTACATGCAGATCTTATTTTCTGCATACTGAAATAAATATTACTCAGCATGGTCAGTCGCTGCCATTTTGTGATCAGGAATACAGAGGAAATAACAACATGAGAGGAAAGCATCATTTGCTTATTTACAGACCGCTGCCATATAGCTGGAATGTTACTGAGTGCGGCGTTAAACAACAAACAAACAAACAACACAAATCATAGACCCTGACATTCATCTGAGTTTCAAACACTTAGTGTGAATGAGCAGAAGCCCCACAAATCCATTTCGTAAATGTGAATACAACAAAGCCTGAGACTTCAGTAATGCAGATACTCTCATGTATTTATGTGATTTTCTTTTAGTAAGTAATGTTCATTCATATTTCGAAATGTCGGCAAGTGTTGACGTTGTCCAATTGGACTAGAGTACAGTTCATAGATAAAGACTACCATATCATTAGCCGACTATCTCTTGCAATGCCTGTCGTTTCATCTGTTATGTAATAGGATGGAAGATAGGGTCTGTCTCAAAAGTATTTTGGTGACTAAATAAGTTCAACCATATGAACATTAAATCTCTAATTTCTTCTCTGATTCTGTGACAAGTCAGGGATATCTTGTGTCTGCACACTGCACACTATCGGCAAAACGATCCAGATCTTGTACTAGATTTTTTCCCAGTCTTTCTTTGAGTCAACCCCTAACTTGGTGTGACTTGATCAAACTACATGCTGTCCTGCCTATTAATGGTTTACTTCATGAAACATACATTCTTATAGGCAGTCGACAATGCAATAATCAGCTGATAACATTTCATGCTGAAAGTAAATACAGAACGTTAATTACGTCTAAATAGGTTAAAGGTTATCTGCATACATTACTGCATATTTCTAAATATTTTTCAGATCAGACTCCCCTTAAGATGTAGTACCTAATTGTGTAACTCCATTTGGGTTGGTATTTGCTTACGGAATATTAAATTATTTTTAAACCTTCATTTGCAAGGGAAAATTAATTTATTTTCTAAGAAAAACATGTCAGGGGTATTACATCCCGTCTGGCTATGAAGATCTAATCAAGCAAGAGATTCTTATAATTAGTATTCCATTAAGCTTGTAGCAACATCTTAACATCTTAAAGGGGTGGTCGGGTAGCCTAGTGTTAAAGCGTTCGCTCGTCACACCAAAGACCAGGGTTCGATTCCCGACATGGGTACACTGTGTGAAGACTGTTTCTGGTGTCCCGCTCGTGATATTGCTAGAATATTGCTAAAAGCGGCGTAAACTCATACTCACTCACTCACTTAACATCTTAACCTTGTACATCTGGCTTCGACCCGTGAAGATCCGGGGTAGAATAGGTCTTCAGCAACCCATGCTTGCTATTATAGGCGTCTATGCTTGTCATAAGAGACGACTAACAGGATTGGGTGGTCAGGCTCGATGACTTGGTTGATGCATGTCATCACATCCCAATTCCGTTGATCGATGATAATGATGTCAATCACTGATTATTTACAGACCGCCGTCATATAGCTGTAATATTGCAGCGTTAAACAACAAACAAACCAAACCAAACATCTGGTTTCTTTACCTGTATGCTAATTGTTATTCTTACTGTAGGTCTGGCTTCATCCAATTATCTGTGTGTTATTTGTTATCAAGCACCTGTTCTTGTTAATGTTCATCTGCTGCTTATCGCAACATGTCATGTATGTACACCTCTCATCACTTGGTTGTACTAATTCCATCTTGAGAATGGTGTCAGAATCTACATTGAAACGTCGCTAATGCAATAAGCCAGAATTTGTTTTCCATATTGTTGTACATTTGCTTATTTACTCACCAACTTCTAGAATGCCACTCAAACAGTAAGCAATTTATTTTGTTGTTCTGTCTAGGGGGTCCTGAATACCCCCTAAATAGGCCCCGAATCATGCATACCATACAGCTGAGTTCTGAATACCCCCTAAATAGGCCCCGATTCATGAGTTCCAGAGGGTTGGCAGCCTCATAATTTGAGGGAGAAGAATGACCAGATGGAATGCACGACTTCACATGACTGTGATAATGACAACCTTAAAATGTGATGCAAGTCTAAATTTAATTCTTGGCTTACAAATGTAATTTGTTCCCAGAATGAATTATTTGCTTTCATCATGTCCATCTAGCATTTTTTGTTTTAAGGGCACCTGCCTGTGGTTGGTCTCGGATTTTTTGGAAGAAACTGTAAAAAAATATATACTCAAATTTACCAGAAAAATAATTTTCCACTGGGCATCATGGATGATGTTTTGAAATTGTAAAAACTTGTTTGCCTCCATTCACAGAAAAACGTGGCATGTTTAAAAGTACTGACTGACAAAATATCCTGTCTCGAACACAAATCTCAGGCTTGCCTCCCCCATCTTCCAGAGGAAAGGGAGTTAGCTGGCTATAAGGTCCAGTTTTCACTCTTGCCGAACTAGGCTAGAATTCCGGAGTTCTATTTTGGCTGGACTAACGAGTCTATGCATAGTCCAATCAAAATGACGTAACAAACTAGGACATCCAGTTAATAAACAGCATGGATTTCAACATGCTGATTTCTGTTGACAACAGGATTTGCAAGGCATGTATATTGTCAACTGGTTGTTGACGGATATTTCCCAATCTTTTCATGTTTTTAATGAAGGTGCTCTAGTGATCTGATCCACTTCTCGAAGTAAGACCCATTTATTACAATATAGGTTATGATTATCGATCAGATCCTCTTGACTTGGTGCCTCCATTTTGTTTGAAGCAATTGCAAGTGATATGAGAGGTGGAATCGGATTGGTCAATAGGAGGGACATAAAAGGGACATAACTGATAATAGCCACTTGTGGTGCCACAAAATTCCAACCTTGTTTGGCAAGGGTGGAAACTGGACTTATATCATGTATATAGTCAGTTAACGCCCTTGCCTCAGGAAGATGGCCTTCCCACCCAGACTATTACCTATTAACTGGATGACCGGTGGCTCCCTTGTGTAAATATAACCCTCAAATTTTTATTTTTATTTTATTAGAGTATTTGAATAAATGGACACAATATGGCTATAATATATTGGAACCACTGGTACAGCTAGCAAACTCATCCACAAATTCTAAAGGACCCAGTTCTCAGACATGTTAGAGTCACACAACTATTTAAAACATTGATGGGTCATTTTTAACCCTTGTACAGTGATCGAGGATTAGTTAGTTTGTTGGATGCAATTTGTAACGTGTCAATGCTTCTATTTCTAGAAAATCTGTTTCCTGTGTAAATACTTCTCTTTCAACATAGATTTGGTAGATTTAAGGTATATCTCTCTATTGTCAGCATTTTTTCTGAAAATACTGTATGTGCTAAAAAATCAAATAATCCATGCGTTGTGTTTTACCGACACAGTGTCAATTTCTTTGTGTGTGCGTAAACTAAGCTTGTTTAGCATGCTGAGGCTATTTGTTGTGAGTTTTGCCCCAATAACCTGTGTTATTTCCCACCAAATAAATATTTGTAACCTGTGTGTTGACAATTGGTTCCCTCCTCTGAGGTCGAAGTAGCAGAAAATAGCTTGCTGTTCATGCCATACTGCAGCCTGGCCTATCTCAGTAACTTGTGGCAGTCCACTAGCAGAGAGCTGGAGAGCCTGGCACTGGTCGGGGCAGGAACCTCATACACAGTTGGTGCTGTGTGATCAAAATTAATGTGTTGTTGCTAGGAATGTTACACATACAAGACATGACGAAGCTGGCATTGGTAAGGGTTACTGATGCTGGGATTGGCAAGGGGAACATGGTGTAAAGATGGCTTCTAGTTGGTCTTGTGTTTGGATGTGAAGGGGAGGGTTTGTTGTCCCTATGGCTGTAGTAACTCTCTGTGCTATAAGCTGTATGCAGTGACCATGCATTTTGTTGCCCCACATTTTCAGGACTGTGAGAGTCACATATTTTGCTTGTTTTGTTTGTTTGTTTGTTTGTTGTGTTGCCATGATTACTTCACAGTCTGCGAAATGGGAGCTGTGTCACGCTGGCCTGTGTAAATTTACGTTTGGATCAGCCAAACCAATGATCCAATTCAGTTGCCTTGTGCCACAAGCATGGGTTATTGGGCACCTAGGTTAACCCTGGCCTCCCACAGGGGGATTCACATGGCCAAATATACTTCTCCAGTGGAACCAGTGAAGATCCGGGATAGAATAGGTCTTCAGCAACCAATGCTTGTTGTAAAGGGTGACTATGCTTGTTGTAAGAGGCGATTAACCGGATAGGGTGG